TTGCGCTGTCGGTCCCGGTGTCCTGGTGGCCGACGGGGCAGAGCTTTAGCGCGGCTCTGACAGCAGCAGTTATGAGGAATAAGCTGCTATAACCTTTAAGAGCGAAGGCGTGTCCGTCTCTTGTTTTGATTCCTGCTCCGCTGTTTTCTTCCACCCCCTGACGTCACAGGACCCCGCCCCCCTTCCTCCACCACCACAGCGCACTGGCCGTCAACGACGTGTGGTGCGTTCAAGGTCCTGCAGGGGGTGGAAAAAGGGGCTTCTGTTCTTTTTCTACTTTCACACGCTTGTTGGAGATCGTTCAGTGGTTAAAGGGGTCCAGTGTGCAGTGTTGGGCAGGTGACCCAGCACCTCCCACCTCCGCTGACTTTAACCTGCTGTGCACAACTCAAACTTAACAATACACATATTCCACTTTATTGCATATAGTCTTTATATTTTCATTATATTTTTTATTATATCTTTATTATATATTCTTTTATTGTATTTTTACACTTCTCTACTATTTGCACTACATTCCCCCTGAGCTGCTGTGCCGAACTTGAATTCCTCCCACGGTGGATCAACAAAGGAACATCTTATATCTTATCTTATCTTATCTTATCTTATCTTAATAAGATTACAGTAATAATAGTACTTTCCCCAGTAACTAGTAGTGTAACTATTTAGTAATACAGTTCAGTAATAGTATTACAGTTAATATAAAAAAATAAATTAGTTCAACAAAGCCAATCACATCCATGGATTGATTTTTGTAATTGAGGAGGAAAATAGCTTTGAACTGGAAATGCTTACACTCAGCGGCTGGGTGAGGGGTTACAATCTGCAACTTCACTGCTAGATTCCAATAAATCTGTCACGCTGGACCTTTAAAACTCAAGAATTTAATTTGAAGGAAGACGCTTTACAGTCCAAAGTGTTATAGACGTATTGTCAAGAAAACCAGAATAACACAGTGTAGAAATAATCTATTACAGGTCAAATTCATGGTCAAAAATTAAGTTTCATATATGCGTCAAATATACTTAAAGCACTATGCAGAATAATATATTATAATATATAAATTATATTTACCTAATATAATGTAATAGTATTACATAATACACTGTGAGATGGAGAAAAAGATATCAGTTTAATAAAAAGGCAGCTGGTTTGACTTTCCCACACTTACTGCTTCTGTAAACATATTCCTGTTTGTTGTAAGTTTAACTACAGGTAAATGGAAAAGTACATAATAAAACTTCAATTTAACCTGAAGTAGCCGTGTCAAATATTCCTACAGTACCTGAATGCAGCAGCAGACTCAGCAGAAGCTGATGAGATGAAGTTAAGTGTCACATACCTGTGGGGAGGCATCACTTTACAGCACATCATTCATCAGCCTGGGTGTTGATATATCATAGAAAATCCCTGTGGAATAACTAAAGGGTTTTTTGTCCTGGAGGAGTTTGAGGTGCCAAACTCCACTTATAAATCTCACCATTTAAAGATTTCTAGCTTATCAGGTACTGTTCAAACCTGTTTAAAACATTACTCAAGATGCTGAACAAAACAGCAGCTGCTTTCCAATTTGGCTTTCATCCCACACACCAAGCAACACTTCAGTAATATTTCAACCTGCTGTTACCACAATCTTTCTGCACCAAAACACACAATAATGGCCCTAAATCTGTAGAAACTGTGATTTCAAAGCAGCTGAGTGCTAGCTACTACTACAAAAATCTACTCCATTCAGAAGATGTAGGATTTAAATATTAACCACAATTAACGAAATGTCAAAGAAAAATAAAGCAACGTAAGCTCAGTACATTTCCCAATATTGTCCATTTTCAATGGCCACTACAATAAATACCAATAATAACCCATTTGAATCAATAACATATCCAGTGTGTTTTGAGATTTAGAGACGTCAGATAAAACACGCAGACAAGCAGGTTCAAGGCTTCAAGTGTAAAGATTTTATTTCTCAGAGTGAATCCCACAGTAACAGACACCTCTGTTCCTTTAGGAATGTGTTATTGCCAATACAAAAAGACAATAATGACACACTCGAACACATCATGCAGGCATCCCACTAGTTCACAGAAATGGCTCGAGGTATTGCCAACCTTCTCCTCTTGCTAAATGTTGACTTATATATGCATTTATGTTCAGGAGGAAGTCACTCCAGTGCGACAACAGCAGGATAATCTAAAATGACAGCGATGCAAGCAGCATGTTTCTTCCTCACTCTCTCACTCTCCCATCATTTCCACAACTTTTCTCACTTCTACTCAGCCTATTGTTTGTATTCTGATGATTACATGTCACATTACTGATCTTTCCTAGGCTACATTGCAGTTTTATTAATAATTAGAATATGATTAAGCTCTTTCGGTTGTCCTGATATGCCACCAACGCTGTGTAGAGATCACGAAACAAGCGGATGGTCTCCTATGAAAAATCCTATAATTCAAGTCAAACAGTCAACACCTGAAACTAAAAGACCTAGCGAGGTTGATACAACAGCAGTGAATATGAAATGGGTCCCATAAGACTTGCAGATGAGGCGTGGCTCACACACAGTTGATAGATAAATCTTGATATTATGCAGATGAGCGCAAGAGCTGCCAAGTAGATGTTACATTCAGGCAAAATCTTTCTTCTCACATCCAAATACCCACAAAGGAGACCCAAAGTGGTCAAACTTATATGATCAAATATTTTTGAAATAAATCATATGAATAAATATAGACAAAATATTAAATGTAAATGTTAAATAATCCAGTAAGTGTTTAAAACTCAGCTGCTGTTTGTGAAATGTTGATTCTGTGTCTTTTCACAATAACACATTATTTAATTTTTTTGTTTTATTACAGCAGTTTCTATCTTAAAATTGGCTTTGGTCTGAATGGGTGAACAACAAATCAATAGCTGTTTCCACCATGCCAAATTCTGATGAACAGTGGCATTTTAAAACAAACAAAATCATCATTTAGAAAATGGCATTTTAAAATAAAAACAGCTGGAATTAAATTAAAAAATATATTTTGTCTGTATTTGTTCATATGATTAATTATTATTATTAAATTATTTAATTTCGACCACTTTGGGCCTCCATACAGGCCAGAAGTCCTTGTCAGTGATATGAGCAAAAATGAACTCAGACACAACAAATTAGTTTTCATGGTGGGAAACGAAGCAAAATGGTCACACCTAATCTGCAAGTATCATCTGACCTACAGTACGGAGCAAAGAGTGGTAAAATAAAAACATTTAACTAATAAAACTATAAATGCACATCTTGTGTCACAAGTAAGACACCTAATTTAAGCAACAGGACAATTATTAAACATTTGGTTGTATCGATTTGGTCCTGAGGAACATAACAAATTCATCTTTTGCATTTGGCACCAATCACCCTGTAATTATACACTAATAAAAATTGCACGAGAAATACATTCGCCATTTGCTCATCAGCTATTTCTTACGAAAAGGCAAGTTTTGGAGTTTGTTTAGCAGAGAAAATTCATTCGTAGACCACTTATAAAAAGATGGAATAAAAACTACTCTAGCAGATTGCAATGAGTACAAAAAGGTGCAAAAGTCATTCTTTCAATGCACTTGTATTTGTAGTTTCTATGAAGGAATTGTTCTTAGATTTCCAAAAGCACTGGTCTGATAATGTCTTTTTACAAAGTCCACAAGAGGTAGTATAAATGGCTTATGTAAACAGTAAATGGAACTGCCATTTGGTGACACTGTTGGTGGAAACACACTACCTGTTGTCTTAAAGCTACACTAGATTAAAATACTCAAACACATTTAAAACTCCCATTGAATTTATCTAGTGCAGCTTTAAACAAGTATCCATTATAAACTTTGTCAGAGTGCTCCAATTAAAAATGTGAAGACAAAGTTTGTCAGAGTTAATAAATTCGAGCCAGTATCTTGTTCTGTGTGTCCTTTATCCCGACACTGATACCATCAGGAGAGGCATTCGGTTGTGATAGTAACCCCATACTGTACGTTTTTTCCAGAAATTAAGAAAAAAAAAAAGAACCCAAATGAATGCTTTACGCAAATTATTGCATTCCTGATTTGTGCGTTTATAGTCTTAAAAGTGTATCAAAAATGACATGTCAGACCCGTGGTTGATAAAACAGCAGCACCTGAGAAAGACAAAACTTTCTCTCGTTATCTAAAACTATGAATGTGTGTTGTTTTCTCAAATGCCTTTTTTTGAGATTCCATTTGACGTGGTGAAATCAAATGAAATCCTATGCAGACATGCCGGGTCTGGTACGTGTACTGTTCTATCTAATCTGTTTGGTCAGTGTGTTTGAATTCAAATACCGAGCCTTGTACATGTATGAAGAGAACTGAAAACAGAAGCTCAGTGACAAGCCGGTACACTGCAGAAGCTCAGTATTTTTTGGAAGGACTCAGTATGACCCACAGTCGCTAGAGGCCCATCTGGTCCGAACTTTGGCCTCATTCTTGGAGCAGGACAACGTCGACGTCATCGTGGACGCCTTGAAGAAGCAACTCGCCCTGGAAGGTGACCACATTCTTCTTCTTGGCTGCCTTCAGGGTGCCCACCAACGCCTCAAAGATGTTGGCACAACGGTCGTCTTTAAATAAGACCCCAAACTTCACGCTGGTTTGACCGTCAGCATCTGAAATAAGAGAGTTGAGCAGATTGAAAGTTATTTCCAAACAGGATGGTTTGTAATTTCAATATGAATTATAGCTGCCTGCTGTTTTCTGACTCTGTATGCTAATAATTATAACAACAATATTGACAATTCAAATGCTTTGTTTGTTTTGTTGTCTCAGCAGCTGTACAGAGGCCAAAGATTAATTCACTGACACTGACATTTTAGAGGCTGGAATCAGGACGTTTGAGCATTTTACCTTAAAATTAAACGAGTATAAAATTCTTGCCAATTATTTCATTTAAAATCGACTAATCATCTCAGCACTAGGTGGTCATTATGCCACCGATTTGTTGGCACATTTTTATGTTCACCAAGTGAGTGATATCATACATAATCTGAAATTCACAAAAAGGACCATGAACGCAACATTAGCACCAACTATAGAAGCATGAAAGAAGACTCATCAATGTACAAACTGTGTGAGAATCTGAAAGAGACACAGGCACACATAGGAGTTATTTTAAGAGAAAATAAGCATAGAGTGTAAAGGCTCAAGCGTGAATCACTAAGAAGTTGGTGTGTGTGTATGTGTGTGTGTGTATGTGTACACACACACACACACACACACTTTTGAGGGCTTGCATGTACCATTTCTACTGTGGTATATTCCCTCACATAGAGAGACTCCATTTCTGTACAGTCCACATATTAAATAATTGAGACTTGAGAATAGGTCTGCTGTGAAGACTTTGTAGACTGATACAATCTGGAGGCAGTGTGACCTGCTAGTTTATTTATGTTTCCAGCATTAGGTGTGGTGAGCTAGAACTACTGATCAACATCACATGAGTGCATGTTTCTGGTTCATTAGAAGTGATCATGAACAGGCTTAAGTGAAAATACATCAATCTCATATACTGAATCATAGCGTGGACTCACTTTTACTGCCGAGTCGCTTAATCTCCTCCACCAGCAAGCTTATTTCATGAGTGACATTCATTGTTACTGAAAGGGAAAACAAAATCAAAGAGACAGACATTTTAACACAAATATACTTGTACGTTTTTTTTTTGTTTTAAAGCATCAAGTACACTGTGTGGGATGGGTGGGGTTATCCTTGATACAACCCACTCTTCTGCCAGCTGAGACCACCAAGCCAAACTCCGTTCAAAATTGTGTCATTTTTTATTTATGTTCTGTTGCTTCTAGGAAAAAGTAAATGGCTTCTATAATTTTTTTTTTTTTTAATAAATGTCTATCACTCAATTCGGCATATGCTTAATCTCTCTAATAGTTCATTTAAATGCATTTTTTTAACTTTCATGACCGATATCATGGGCACCTTGCACCAACGCTGATACTATTCAGTAATGATAACAAACATTGATTTAATCGAAATTAAAAAACTGATTTGTGTTTAACTACAAGCCGAATTTTTAACAAGAGGCTAGTAAAGCAGAAATTATCTTGACTTTTATCCTCCTCCATGATTATATTGGCTTATCACCAAGGCAATTACAATTTTGCAAGATTAGTGAACCGAGTTTGGGACTGAGTTTTTCTCTCTCCTGCAAAAAACAAAAAACAAAAAACGCGAGTGTTGTGGCCATTTAATTAATTTAAAGCAATTAGCATCCATCAGATAAACACAAATACACTAGCACAAACAATACATAGAGTATGAGCAGTGACTGCAGCATTCAGACCAACCTGACGAGCTACAACACGAGCAGGGCGGATCATCAATGCGGAAATGGGGGATTAGCATTCAGAGCTAGCCGTAAAGCACAAACCCTTATTGTAACTGTCTCTGGGTCAGTGGGGAGTACTCATTTATCAGTCGGGATTCATGTCGACAGATTTTGTTTCCCATAACTTCAGCTACAGAAAGAAAGCGCCACAATGAGCTGCAGACAGGAGCTCGCCGGTAACGTTAGAAAACGAGCTGCTGAGGGTCGGAGGGATTTAATCTGTGGTGGCTGAACGATTTCACCAGAGTCTACACAAACCCAGTTCAAGTGTAACGACAACACACACAGATTTACCTTCTTTCTTATGCTGCTTGACTGTAATTAGATGATGGACGACTTACTGTTGAATCGGCTGCCGTGGATAATGGTGCTGCGTTCACAGTCCGCTCGGAAATTGTGATGGGTCTGTCGCGAAAGATCCGGCTTTAAGAGAGGGAGAGAGAAGGGGGAGGGGGGGGGGGGGGGGGGGGGGTTACCTTTTCTGGGCCAACTCAGAGTCGGTTAAACTAGTTTTTAATTTTTAGACCCCATCAACTTGCAGATAAAAGTAGCTTTTTGCTTTTTTTTTATATATTGCCTAAATAAGAGTAATTAATTGAAGTTCAACATGTGTGATGTTCGGGTGGGACACATTGATATCTAAAACACTCTTGCCTG